TGCAACTACCTCTAGACTGAAACTTACCTCAGTGATGTGCAGCCTAGTGTGCAGCACCACGTCTCACAACAAGAAGTGATTTAAACTATTCAGCTGAAATTATAAAACAAGGGGAATTTTAAACAAGTAGTTCAAACCCCAGCTCGTCCTGGATACTGCACAGAACAATATTAACTCTTGATTTAGAGACTAGATGGTTTCAAATACAAATTATAAGAATGAACTTTGGATAGAAAAAAACCTAAGATCTGAATGCAAATTTAGAACTTTACCATGGTTCTGTTTGTATTTACATAGCAGGACCTCACCAGCCCACTGCCTGAGCACACAGGTAATGGCCTGGCTCTGTATCTGTAGTTCAGCTCTTTTCTACTACTTTCCTTTACCTTCAGTTAGTTTGCAGTGATCGAGATAGAGCTTCTAGACACAGCCATTCAAGTGTGGTGGCTTGGCCATTAGCTCAGCACCAAAAAGGTGTCACCAGCAAGGACTGCTGCAAACTTCTTACCAGTGGGACTCACAGAAAATTTAAGTTCATTGCTTAAACACCTATTTGCTTTCATACCATCCTTGCCACACAGCTTTGAAGGCTTTTATGCAAAGGCAGGATACATACTGAGGCTATACAGATGAAAACAGAGCATTGAGTCATGTTTCAAGAACACAGAGTAAGGAAAGTTCACACACTTCAGAAAAAACCCCACAACATTTTGCAAATTAAATTAGTGCTTGGGAGAGATGAGATTAGTCAGTGCTCTGGCATCCTCTTTCACAGGGATCTGCAGCAGGGACATGACAGCAGAGCAGTGTTCCTTTGGGGGGGCTGATGAAATTTCCCACCAAGACACTCCACAGGTTTGGGACATATTGATTACTGAGGCAAATTTAATAAAAAAGAATGTAAGGATATAAAAGAAAGACTCTGTCAGGAATGTTTGGGTGGGGAAGGTTTGACTGGTTATTTGTGGAGCTCTGTGACAATTCTGAACATTTCTGTTGGCCTGCTGGGAAGCACAACAGTCACAATGGGTAAAAAAACCAAGCAGTTTTCTGGGCTGCAGGTACAGGAGAGAGATGGCTGAGAGAGGACTACAGTTTATATAATATTAATCCTCCACAAAGCACAGTGTTAATTAACATGCAATTAAAGTAGAAAGTATCCTTACTTAGATTTTAAAAATCCTAAACCAATAATGTGGCTTAGTCATAAAGTATGAATACTGGGAAAATTGAGCATTTCAGTCCACTTCACCAGTTACTCAGAGTATCTGGCAAACTGACTCCGTAAGAGCAGTTTAAGGTAGGGAAGTGCATAAAGGAGGGGGAGTGAAGAGTTGGGCTGGGGCAATTTTGGGAAACCTGTTCCACAGAATCACATCTGCCACTTTATTTCCTGTGAAAGTCTGAGACCTGACTCAATACCACAGTGCAAAATTTCTTAGATATATCTTTTAAAACCCTGCAGACCAGGAAGACATTAGTAGAACAATGAAAAAACTTGGCATCTAAATAACTCTATATAGTATTTCCAAAACCAAACAGATATTTTCCACTCTCTTCCACAAAACTCAATATAATATAATATATTACACATTTTTATGCAGAAAGTCTTACATAACCTGTCTCCATTTCAATGAAGCTGTAAATTTGCGGGTTGGATATCTGACATGCAATTTTGATTAAGTAAAGAAGTGGGAATAGCACAGCTGGGCTGGAGTCAGGTGAGTCTGAGAAAAGAGGGAGTCTACAGGCCTCTCTAAAAAGCTCTCATCACAAAGTGAACCTATAACATTGCCTTTATTGTACTAAGCCTACAAGCCTAGAGGATGACAAGCTTGTTTAGGGTGGGAGATGTTGAAGCAGGATGCCTGTGCCTCAGCCTGGCTTACTGTTTTACAGATTGTAACCACTGTATTCCCACAACAACAGAATCAACATGAGCTCCCTCAGCAGTACATTAGGGTCCAAATTGACAACACAAAAAGGAAATGTTTCTTTTAGCTGAAAAAATTAGTGCAAAAAGCATATGTGAGCTGTATGAGAGCTGTGTCACTAATACGCAGTCTTCAGCGAGATGATCCCAGATTGGTTCACCTCTGATCTTGGAGGGCATCAGATTTTGGAAGACCAACAAGTCAGCAGATGCTCATCCTTTCTGCAATGCCCCAGTAGAAACCAGATCTTTGTTTCATGGTGTGTAAAGGCTGTGAAATCCATGAAGCTCAGAAATCTCAAGGACCACAAAATAAAACCGCTCCTGTGCAGTCCTAATACAGGAAATTCCAGTGTGAGGGAATGTAGCCTCTGTCCAACATACCACAACCAGCAGAAGAATGTGGCTTCAGAGGAAAAAACTTTCAACTGGTTCCTAGTGGGCTTACGCATAAGTTGACTTTGTGTTATCGTAATAAGCCCACTGGTCCATTCAGTCATGGCTGTATTTCTGCTGGCCTTGCTGTGAGAGCAGCAGAGCCATGGTGGACAGCCCGGGCCTGTGAGACCAGGCACATGGGAGACACGAAAAGGGTGATTTTCTTTTCCTGATGAGCTCAGGGGAGGCAGACAGTACTGTGAAAGTCTCCCCCTCTGAGTGAAATTCATTAAAACTACCCTGAGGCTACTTGCTTCTCTCCCTCCTCATGAAGTCAGTAAAAACCATCAACGCCAAACATATTAATTTAAGTAAGTAAAAAATATGAATTGAAGCCTAATGGGTATTATTGAGAAATGGTCTTCAGCATCTCCGGCACCTGGCAAGACTATCAGTTATTACACATGATACTGTCTGTACCTGTCTAATAGTAACCTGACAACTGAGACCATGGAGACCACATGTGGCTTTCAGAGATAACTCTTCTGGAAATATTGGGGAAAAAAGGGAAAAGACGAGAATTGAACCCTGAACCTGGCATAGCTCCAATAATGACATAGAGCCTACAACTCTTGTCTTTCCTCTGATAAAAAAATGGCAACAGAATGCAAAAGATGCAGATTTTGTGTCTGAGACTCCCCGTGATGTGGTCTAAGCACAGTGGCACTGTGCCCGGGGGCATTGCAAGGGTGGTGGCAGAGTGTGCATTAGGGTGCAGGTCACAGTGTCTCCCCTTCCCTTCCCTTCCAGTTTATACCTGCCTCTGAGGCACAGAGCAGGGACAGCATGGACGCACCTTGTGCTTTGAATTTTTTACTCACAATAGTCCCTTACAGTTCTGTGCCAACTCAGCTGTAGTAAATCTAGTCTTTTAGGTTTAATCATATGATAAATTTTAGCCAGCTATCACAAAAAGAAAATCTCCCCTACACACTTCTTACATCGCGCAGGTGAAAGCTAACAACCTGAGAGCAACTGTTACCAACATATGAAAGCTTGGTTGTTCCAGCTAGATGAAAGAAACCAAACCTGAGACAACTATTTTGTCAACCCTCATGGGGAATCTTGTAAAGCCATCTCCCACCCCGTAACTGCTCTGTGGTTAAATAGTAGCTTCAGTTCTCTGATGTTGCAATCCAGCACCTTTCACAGGCATTAAATTCCCTCTAAATTAATTCTAAGGAAAAAAAAAAAACACCTTTCTGCGCAGAGGTATTTCCATTGCCCAGTTATTTTATATGAGTCTGATAACTAGTTTCCTGCTACAGAGATTACATCTTGAATACCTAATGCCAATTTGGAAATTTTTTAGGCAAAACAAAAATAGATCTAAAATACAACACACATAGTTTAGCTAAGTGTAGAACATTAATGCAAGGCATGATTGGAAAAACATCAAATAAATTGGAGGAGGGGAGCAGATTCAACGGGTATCTCTCATGGTTAGTACATACTGTAGCTGGTCATTCAGACATTTCTGGTTCTGAAAGTACATTTCTCTTAGCATAAAAATGTCAGAGTTCAACGATTTAGAAAAACAAGTTAGAGAGAAGGATAGAGTGCAGCCAAAGGATAGCCTTTAACAACCATTTCAAAATGAAATCTAAATATGCTTACATATTAGATAAATGTTGGCTTCCAGGGAAGCTTTACAACACTTTAATTCCATCCTGGACTGGGATATATGGAAATGTTTTGAATTTCCATAAGTCCAGAGCTCTCTGCTAAGCACACCAGCTGATATTTCTATTCATATAATAGAAGCTATTTTTCCCATGAAGTAACTCACTGGGCTCTCTTTGGCAACTTTCTTTTTTTTTCTTTTGAGCTGCAGTACAATTTTATTAATAGGAATATACAATAATTACTCTTTTCATATTCTCATCAGCTACTGATAACTCAACTGCCCTATTTTTTGCTACATGGATTCAAGGATCTACTTTATTTTTAAATGTCAGAGGTTTTTTCCCCCCCTCTCATTACTTGAAACTCAGCAAACATAAGGGGTTGCATACAGGTCACACACATTCAGTTTTGTGCCCCGCCTCCATAGCAAGTTCTTTGGAAGTTTTTCTTATCCTTCATAGCCAAACCAGCAGTGGCCAATCCATGGTCTATGGCCCCTCACACACACCTCATGGACACAACACCTGTAAAATAGACAAATTAAGGCCAGCCTCAGCTTTCCCTAGGCTAATATATTGTAAGATCAGACCCAGTGAGTTGTCTGAATGGTGCAATGACCCAGGGAAAGTGCGGGCAATCATACTGCCTACAACAGATGAGGAAAATGCAACCCTGAAGTCATAGAATCACAGAATATGCCAAGTTGGAAGGGACCCAACAGGACCATTGAGTCCAACCCTTAGCCCTGAATGGGACCATCCACAAGAGTCACACCATGTGCCTGAGAGTATCAAAGTCAAAATGGTCAGATCTAGCTGTGATTTGCACACACATGAGAAGAGCAGGCAGGTGCCTGATTCCGAGACATGCTAGGCATCTCTCCTAGTATTTTGTCTTTGTTCATATACAAGTGAAACGAGTAAAAAAATCCTGTAAATGGCTACATCAGTCAATGGTTCTTAACAAGAAACAATATATCAAGAAATGCCTCTTGACACTGTACCTTCAGACTTGTGCAGGCAGCCCGTTTCTCACTGCTGGCCCCTCTCACGCTGTGGCAGGCTCCAGCTCTCACACAGCAGCTGGCAGTGCCCTGTCCTCTCACGCTGTCCCAGAGCTCCTTGGAGACCTGGAAACAAAGAAGCACCGGTTCTTTCCCAGGCAGGACTGCTCAGCTGCTGCTTCCATGGGTGCCAGCAGCTTAACACACAAATTCATCTTGAGGAAAGTAGAGACGTGGAGTCTTCAGGCTGGTAGGTGCAGCCTGCAGTGACCATGGCACTGGTGATGACAACCTTTTTACACACACAGACTTAGAGTACTAATTTGCAAGCAACAGGGAGAAACAGGGCTGCCAGTCAACCAGTAATATGTTGTAGAGCTGATGCCATTTGTCATATATCAAAGGTCTTATCAAGGGTGTACCAGCAAAGCCAATTTCACCTCTCATGGTCTTCAAGGCAGCCATCGGAAGAGTTGCATAAGAGGTTGTTTAATTATTTTACTACAACTTTTCCTTTATATTGCCTTCTTTTTCAGTCTCCATGTTTAAAGTTGAAGGAAATGACATGAAAAAGCAAAAGATAATTAAAGTAGGATTATAGCAAAGAAAGCGGGCACGTTGATTTTAAATGTACTTAAAATTAGGGAGGAACTTGAAGGCTAAAAAAATGTGCCATGGTGCTAAACAATTTTCACTACTTGTCATTGAGTATGATGGCTTTAAGCAAGTCTATCACCGAAGGCTGTCCTCTGTCACTGAACCCAAAACCCTATACAATGTTTTTGTCTGGTCTAGCTTTCCATGGCTGATGTATTTCAAGACAGGAGGGAGATCTTATTAAAACAGGAGAGATTAGGAACAGCAAGCACACCTGCTCAGCAAACAGATGTGAATCTGGAGAGACACCCTCTCCTGACAAAAGCACATCCTACAGATATGTGTTAAAATGGGTGAGATGACTATTTCAAAAAGGTGAAAAACCTTTTGGCTTCTGCAGACTCAAAAGTGATTCCGTGCTGTAACTGCTCATTGGGCAGGGGCACATGCAAACCTTTTAGTACGGCTGCCCAAGCACTAGCCCAGGAAGAGTAGCTTTCACAATTTGGCAAGTGGATGTGGAGATAATCATGTGGATGCGGGCCTTGACCTCTCTGCTAGACCAGATAATAGAGCAAAAAAAGAGGAAGATGGCAAGGAGATACTTGATCTCTTTGGGTAATTGTGACTTGCAGTTTGTTATCACACTCAAGTTGAACATCAACAGGTTTTGGTTTTTTTTGTGAATTTTTAAGGAAAATTGATAACATCAGCAGTCAGCTATCTCCTATTGCCACGCTCTTGGTTCCTAACACAACTAATAATTCAGCCCTGATATACTCCCTATGATCACTTTGGGCCAAGGTCTGGGCTAACAGAAAATGATTGCAAAAGAAGGCAACTGAGAAGAGGTTGCACTAACTTTTTGTACACACTGAAAACACACACTATCGATATGGTGTTGCCCTCTGTATTCCCCCTGCTGCCAAGGACTGTGACTATGCACTGCCAAGGACAGTGACTACTCTGGCCAGGTGGCTTGTTCTCTGGATGCAGGTACCTGCTCACATCAGCCCTTGCATTCTCTCCAGTGTCAGTGAGAGGTTCCTGTACCTTTGAAAGACTGAAGTGGATACATCATTAGGCCTTGATTATCCTCAAGCAATTGCTTAGATTTCTGCCCTATTACCAATCTGCCTTTTTTAGCAGGGGTCATGGAATGGGCAGTGGCTGTCTTGTCTTCGTTATAATGCATCATTTGAAACTTTTCAATTAAGCTTCAGATCAGGCCACAGTACTGAGACCACTTTAACGAGGGTGAGTAATGACCTTGTGCTGCACGTGATTTCTGGCACACCATCAGTTTTAATTCTTCTTGATCTTACTGTAACCCTTTGATACTTTGGATCAAGGGTTCTCTTGAAATGCTTTAAGCACATTGTAGGACTTTCAGGGACTGTTCTGACATGGTTTCTATCCTACTTGTCTCAATGTAACCAGACTGTCACCTGTAAGTTTTCCATATAAATTCAAATTGCCAAAGATTAAAAGGGAGCTGAAAATCTGGCCTGTGTTCAGAACCGGGGAAATCTGGTGTGGGTCCCCAGAGTGAGCAAATCTAAGGAGGATTCTGCTACAAGAGCAAGGTAACCCCTTTGATGTGCCATGCCCAAGTACAGCAATGCTATGATTAGAACAGAAAGCTACATTATGCTGGAGTAGTGAATTTAATAAGAACTACTGAGAGAGAGACTTCCAGAAATTTAGACTTCCCAGTTAATACCCATCTTTACGTTACATATAGGTCAAAATAAAACTCTGTGGTTTAAAACACAGCATAGACCCTCATCCAGTTAAGCCAGTAATAGAAATAACTTTGATATCAGCAGGATAAAGGTCTCACCTTTGAATTAAGGGCTATTTGAACCCAGATCCAAATCCAAGCCTCATAGCTGGAATCAATTTCTAAACAGGCTGTGTGTGGACAAAGAAGATTAGCCTTGGTATTTTCAAGGTGCTTTCCCAAGTCTTGGAGTCTAAGGAACCTGGCTTCCTTCTCTTGGGAGAAGGAACAGCATCTAACTACAAAATTAATCTCAGAAAGAATTTTCCAGAAGCCCCTTGACTTCTCCAAGGTTTGTAGGCTCCCAACAGCTGACACAAAACCTCCATGAGCATGAGTCAATGAAACAGGTACACGTTTGTTAATAAAAACCCATATAATGCTTCTCATACAAACTCACGTAAAACTCATATAATGCTTTTAGGTATGAATGCTTCACAATGTCTGGATGCAAAAATCCTCAAAACACAGAGTCCTTTTCAATAGGAGCAGTTGATTCCTACTAACGGCATGAGACCAAGCACCAGATGTCCTGAGGGGCCAGACTCAGCATCCACAAGGGAGAGAAGCAGCTACAAGCCTCAATCCCAAACCATGTAGTACCACCAACTTACCTATTGAAGAGACAGAGAGAATGGGGCTGCAGCCTATGCCCCACAGGCAGGTATGTGGGAGCCTGCGCTGTTTGGCCCATGGCCCTGGTCTGTCATAGGGACTGTGCTTGCTGAGCTTGCCAGAGGGGTGTGAATTTTTAGGTAGCTGTTGTCATCTGAAGTCTTCCCTTCAGACATCCCAAAAGCTCCTCTCCTGGCTTACAAGGCACGTCCTGGCCTGTTACCCCGGGGCAGGCTGATTTACGTCTGAGAAAGTCTCACAAACAGAGCAACGAGATGCTTAACAGTTCCCCTCCTGCCACAATTTAGACATTGTCACCCTTAAAAGCAATGGACTGAGCTACTTAAAAGCAATAACTCCCTGTCCTTTTTTTTTTTTTTTTTTAATTCTTGAAGCTCCTCTTACATGCAGCATGAGGGGTGTTTATCTGCAAGGGTAACAGAGAAATTCATGAGTTTTATAGCAGTTGGATGGTACTACCAGGGAAGTGAAAAAGCTTTCAGACTTGCTATCTATCACTTGATATATGCAGGAGTTGATTTTTATTGATATGCCTCTAGTCACCAACTGAAATGGTTTGTCTTTCATTATACCCTTTATAGGAGGCCTTTTTCACTGCATTTGCCTGGTGGCTTCTCCAGAGCTGGTAACATTGAACAAAACTCATTTCCCAAACCAAGCTTATTGGATAGAATATACATTTTTTTTCTTGGTTGTAGCAAGCAGAAAATGCTCTCATCTGACACTTTCTTGGCTGCCAGGAGAGCAGATCAGTGGTACCATCAGTGTCCTACAATAGCATGCACAGAAAAGAGGTGAGGGAACCCAATGGATTTCACTCTAGACAAAATTATCATCACTATGTCAGGACTGACTTCTTTGTTAGCCTAACAGGGTCACACCTATTAGCATGAAAAAAGGCAGGGGTCATTTAACACAACCCTATTTACTGTGCACTGGAAACACACCTTCCAGCTCCTGCGAGTCTTAACAAAGCTGCAAAGAGCAAATCACAGCAGTGTGCTGTATGCCCGTTTCAGGTCCTCAAGGCAGCAATTATAGAAAACGGTTGTGTTATTGCCACATTTCAAAGTCAGAGTATGGCCACACTAATGTGTGGCTCTAAACCCAGCAGAGCTTGATCTATTAAACGCATAAAGCAGTCTGTGTGTCAGAGGAGTCTGGCCTAATCAGGGGACAGAAACCACAAACTTCCAAATTCAAAACGCAGATTTCTTTGGCTATTTGACCAACACTTCAGAGCACATCTATACATTTTAAATTTCACAGTCTAATAGGAATACATAGTAATGCTCCTTTCAGAGGTGTTGCATTGATTAATAAGCTTGTCACCGAGGATGGAAATTGCTACATAAGTGTTAAGCACTGTTAACTAACAAAAGAGAATTCCATACATTCTGGTGGAATCAAGAGAACTTCAGTAAAAATTATTAGTTTCATTTGCGTTTGTACTCTGTCTGACAACAGTGATCAAGCTGGAGAAAGTTATTTCAAATGTTAGTTATGCTCCATGCCTGCAGAAAAAATTAAAGTGAAAATTCTGGCTCACAGGATAGAATTGTGCCTGCTGAAAAATCTTTAATTTCTGAATTATATAGACAGCACAAACAAATATTTCTCTCATCAAATTTGCACACACTTCAGTAATATTTAGCTTAATAATTGTTCAAAGAAGGAGTAGTATTGATGAATTTAAAGTACAGAACAACACTCTGCAGGGAAACTGCTAATGCTTTCCATTTCGGCTGCATGTCCTCATTAAGGACTCAGGCTTCTTGGCAAACTAGTGTACATCTGTTTTAGGCACTTCTAGCTCAGTTTTTCTATGATTCACCTTCAATGCCACATCACCAATGTGAAATACTATGGACCACCTGAGACTTTCCTGGCACAGGAAATGGTACTGATTTTAGATTCTCAGAAGTCAAACTACGGTTTTCCTCAAATAAACCAATTCGATGAATCTCTGTATTTCTAGGTTGTATCATCCTTTCTGTGAATACTTCTTGTGACAGAGTTTGGGATTAGAAACTACATCCTTAAACTCACCTTTCTATGCCTTTGCCATAAACCCATGGTTTCTCTTGATGAGATTGGTACATAAATACACAAAAACAGTTGAGCAAGACTGGAGTCTTCTGCCTCCAGGACTTCCAGAGAAGAGGCCTGCTGAGTTTGTGAGCTAGCAGATGGGAGGCTGCAAGAGTCTCAAGAACATAGGATAGTTCTCTGACGCTGGCCTGCTCTGTGATGAATCAAATCATTTTACCTCCAGATCTTTTCCTTTTTGTTTCTTCTGGGCGCCAAGGCTGTCTCTGAATTTATGTTGGTGCTGCGCTTCCCAGCACAATGGGGTTTGAATGGCTCTATGTGCTGTTAGAGTATGGCTTTCTCTCTGTTTCCTTTGTTCTAACCAACCATTTAGAGATGGAGAGAGATTTGTCTCTCCTTTCATTACATTTCTATGGAAAGAAAAAAGCAAAAAAAACCCCTAACAGCATAACTACTTGACTTATTTGTACACGCCCATTATGTTGAGGGATGTGCTGTGCATGTACTGTGCATTGCTGAAAATGTAAGGTAGCTGTGAAACATGATGTTCTTGTGCTTACCAGCCCTTTGCCTTTAAAAGAAGATCTGGAGCCTAAACAGGCAGCTTTAAGAACTCTCCTGACTCAGTTGTAATCAAGATACCATCTACTTAAATAAGCATTTGTACTCCAAGTGATTTTAGGAGATGAATTACTGATCTTATTACCATAGTGAATACCCTTGAGGCAATGCACAGGCCAACAGAATATTGCTTTCTGCTGGTACAGTACCCATTTCCAGGAGAACTCTAGGAGTATTTCTAACCATGTGATAATAATAAAAGATTTGCTTAGACTATATTTGCCAGAAAGGCCTATTTCCAGAGGGGGCTTTTAAATCTTTGACATTGTTCATGGGAAACAGCTTGTCAGATATGAAAATATTCCTACCAGCTCCTGTATATCTGCCTTACTACCAGGGAAAAGACATTTTCAGGTGGCATAGCTCAGTGCCAATCAGAGAAAGTTTTCAGTTGACATGATGAGTGGCAGAGCAACATTACCTGGATAGGCAAAAGCAGTTCTTGCCTGCCAGCAGAGGTGCAGCATGCAGTGTCCTTTGAGGACAGTCGCCTTTACATGCACAGCTCTGTGTCCAGGCAGGCAGCAGGAGCCAGAGGACAGGGAGTGACAGCATGTGGGAGGCCTCCAGCTCAAGCACACTCCATTTATTTATCACTGAACCATCATCTGGTCAACAGGAAAAGTTGATAAAACTGTTGCCTCCAGGGCTCCGTTCTCCTTGGGAATAATGAAAAGGTGAAGCTGGTTAAGGTCAGTGCACAGGAGGCCCTATTGAAGGTGGGAGCAGGTTGGCCATGAATTACTGAGCATCATCTGGTATCACAGATAAGCAGAACGGGTAAAAGACTAGGCAGGCTCTACAATAAGGGATGGATTTAATTAACAATTGCACAGAGGGAGCAGACCGTAGCATTCTGGCATGAGGACATTCTACATCTGACAGTTGCTTAAAGAGACAGGGAGCACCCTATTATAAAAAATATATTACTCCTCGATGTATTTTAAAAATTACACAAGAAACAATAACATATTGTATTACCCCTTCTCTCCAGAGCTGCCTGGTTACACCAGCACTGAGCACTGCAGGCTCTCTGCAGATATTCTGCACTGGGGCCTATTTAAAAACATCAGTCCAAACTTGGTTGCAAAAGTACAACACTGCTGAAGTCAGAGGGTTGTGCAGATGTAACTAAAGGCAGATGTTGATCCATATTAACTAAACTATTAAATACATCAATCTTACCCGACCATCTGACGCCTTGTCCCACTTCCCTATATTTCGTTTCCCAAAAGTTTATTTAAATTCAGCCAGCTGAGAATTTGCAAGCTTCTGGTAACCCCTTTTTTATAATTTCTTGCTTCCCCCTTCCCCCTTTTAAAGTTATTACTTTAATGTTAAGTGAATCTTCTCATTATTTTGAAAGTTCAAGATGATCATCATTGCACAGTTCTAGCTGTTCCACTCTGCAGCTGGTAAAAAACAACAACAAAACACCCAAGGAAAGAAGCTGAAACAAACCAGAGTTCAATTCTTATTTCTTTTCACATATGTGTTAGCAAAACAATTAATTAATGCACGAGCTCCTTAATTTGTGTCTGCGTTCAAAGAAATGCAGACAACTGACTTTCATGATCCCAGCCTCAGTCCCAGTCCCAGCAGGTGTTTAACCACATCCCACAGATCAGTGCAGCTCAGCTTCAGTGGATGGACTCTCTACTCAGGGAGCCAAGCATGGGACACACCATTGCTAAAATGAACATACAAAGAAAACAGAAAAGTATATCCCTCAACACACCTGCCTGAGTAAATAACCTCTGTCCTTCATTTACCTAAATAAAGCATTGCCCAGTCATTGGAAACAATAAATGAGGGAGGGAAATTATTTACTAATCAATCTACAGGAAAAAGGACTCACAGGGTTCAGAGCTTAGTGCAGGTAATGGTGGTAATGCAACTGATTTCCTCTGTTTATTACACCAGCTTTGAGACCATACAATATGACTTATTCTGGACCTTTTCACCAATGACAAGCAAAACTCACCACTGTATCCTTGTCCTTTTCTAAATACTTTTGTTTACTAGAGCCTATCCTAGGGCTTTAGAAGTAGATTGCTTTTTCTGAATCATATTTAAAAATCAGTGCTCTAAACTGTACTCAAAAAAAAAAAAAAACGGCCATAGAAAAGGTGTGACTTGAATGCATAAGAATTTTTTGAATGAATAGAGCCCTTAATATTTAGTTTTGCCTAATGAAGTAAGTCATGAATGTAAAAGGATTACTATTCCCGTAACATTCAATTCACAGACACAAAGTGTAATTCATGGAACCTGGCTTTAATTTTTTTTCATATAAATAATTAATGCTGCATTTAAAGCATGTTCAAATGTCTTATTTCTTAATCAGCTAATTTGACTGAGAAACAAAGATGCCTTTATTTTCATTTTCCTTGACTAGAGTCACTGTAGTAAAAGGTCCCCTCTAGCTTTGGCCTTCACTCTCAAGTTTGCTGCTGCCAATTAGTTTTCTAAAGTTACTATTTCACAAAATGTTTCTCACTTTTTAAAAAATGTAATTGAATGTCTGTACATCACAGACTTTCTTGTGTGCAGACACAGGGTGTTAAACATTCTTTGGGTTGACTTGGGTCAGCTTTAAAAAAATCTCAGACACTGAAACTTGAGAAGCAGTCGTGTGCTAGTGTTTTCTCCACATCCTGTTAAGTATTAAGTGGTTATTTAAAATAGAGTTGTTAAACTCAGCAACTGACTTAAAGTGCTTGATATAGTTTACAAGACGATTAATTAAATGAGAGCATAGCATGTGATGCACATGTATTTCCATAATTATTCACATTGGCCTATAGTTGCCCTTTAATTTTCATACTAATTAAAGTAACACATTGAACTGCAAATTGTAAATGGCTGCATTTCTCAGTAGATGTTAACACTGATGTAAGCTGAATGGCGAATAAAAAACCCCAAGAATTAAGCAGAGTGTTTTTTGACTCTGATCCATTCAAGTTTCCCTACTCATTCCATTACTGGACCATGTCCACATTTTAACAAGACTGCATTTTTTCTGTGTTTTCAGCCCCATATTTTTCGGTGTGTGTATTTTTTTGTGTTGTGGTGTCCGGTTAGTTGGTTTTCATCTGATACAACAGAGCAGTTATCCAGGCTTTACAGTTACAGATTAGGTTTTTTAGGTGGTGGTGGGACTGAGGTTTGTAATCTGATGGGCAGAAAGAAAGAAAACCTATTTCACCAGTAGTTTTACCTCTTAATTACATCTGACCTATTATCCTCCTTGATTCTTGTTCAAATCTTGACACGGCTGACTTGGAACCTGAAATGCAAACCAGAGGGCTGCATTTTAAGGTTGCATCAAGGAAGGGGGAAGTTACTCCCTAGAACATTTACTGGGATTCGGAAAAGAGAAGAAACAGATAGGAACAACTATCCCGTGGCTCACATGGCTGCTGGCACTTCAACTTGACACGTGCCCTGATGGGGACCACTGCATCCACCTCAAGCAGTCTCTAGCATGTAATGGACATATGGTAATTGCTATTGAATGAGAAGTAACCTTGGACTATAGGCATATGAAAGACACCTTTAAAAAAAAATCCCTGACAAAAAACCCCTCTGTCAGGGCCAACAGCTCAAAAATTAACAACTAATCACTCCTTTCAATGTGTCCTCCATCTAATTGCTTCCATGATGAGGTTGGTGGTTTTTTTTTCCTTTCAGAAATGAGCATTATAAAAGATTTCTTTTTAATTTAAAATGAAAAATTCCTCCACTCCCAGGTGACCTATCCAAGAGAAATAATAATAAGCACTCGATTGCTCAGAGAGCATCAGTTCTCACACATATTACAAGGCTGAGTGTTCATGCTCCCTTACACCCCCCACCCTGCTCCCTTTCTGTGGCGTGTCCTATCTCCAGATCCTAACTTGGCTTGGCCCAAGATCTTATTTGTTAAAATTAATTTTCAGATCAGGCTGGAGTCAATGTACTTGGCAAGGAGGAGAGGAACCAAGACTGCAAGGAAGGGAACAGCTTCGAGAGGCAAAGAGGGAAGCTGTGGCCCAAGCAGAGACTTTTGTGGAGTGAAATGGGCCACTGCAGCAGGACACAGCAGCAGAGCCAGGTTTGCTCCCAGTTTTGTCACAGCTGTCTTGAGCACTGTGCTGTCCCCAAGTCCCTTATTGTGGGCCACACAAAGACTTCCCCTACATCTGCCCCCAGCCTGCCTGGGCTGCAGCCCATCAGAGCTGAGCTCCTGCTCCTGCCTTGGAGGGGGCACCCCAATGTGACTGTTCCCATAATATGCTTTATTTCAGCAAAAGTCTTCTGAAGTTCAGCCGTGGCAATGCTGAACAGCCATATATTGCAAAATGAATGGAGTCACGCTGAGGGAAGACTGATAGACTATGGTAATAATGCAAGACCTTTTTTTCCCCTCATAAACCAAATTTCCCATACTTTTCTGGAAGATTAATTTAGATTTAGGGAGGTTTCAACTGAGGTACTGGAAAAAAGATTCTAAATGCAAGGTTGGTTTCTATCTGACCTTAACTACTAGCTACCACTGCTCCAGTACATTTGTATATAAAATCTACAGGCACTTCAGCTTAATTACCTAAGGATTCTATAAAAAAATGCCTTTAAAATATTTTAATTGCAAATCTAGGCTTTCTGAGGGCTACACAACAGTGGTATCATCCATTGACTAATTAACCATGTATTTGAGGAAAAAATTAAAATAACTCTCAGCTACATGGACGCAGTTCTGCTTGTCTTAAGTAGATGATGCATGTAAATGTGCACATCCAGAATTAAGTAGTAATTTGAGTTTGTTGGATTTTGTTTTCCCTTTGAGACTGGTTGCTGTAAATGCAACACTAGATTTATTTTCAAGTTTACCCTCAAACTCTATTGTAAGAAAGAAGGGATTATAAAGGGGAAAAAAAATCCTAGAAGAAGAAGCTCTTGAAGCTTTCTGATTCCTATAACACAAAAGGACTGCTATGTTTCCAGGTGGGAGGTTCAGTTGCACACAAATCTCACCCCCTCAGTCCCCTAACTTTCATTTGCACTCACCTCCTAAATACAGAGTGGACTCTCTCTTCCTCTGTTTCATCCTGCAGATTGCCTCAGATGGGACATGGCTGGAGAGGCACAGTCAGGTGATGTCAGTTGCTGGCAGGGCAGTTTGCTTTGCAGAGTGCTCAGCTAACACCGCAGCCCCAGCGGGACCACAGAGCAAGGATGAATAAAAGCAGGGCTGCTTCATCTGAGCAGGGTGCTGGCCATCCGGGAAGGGTGCTTACATGAAAGCCAAGGACCTGGGAAGTCTTTCATCTTTCCAAAATCAAACCCTTTTTACATAGACTCATGACAGCTGGTTATGATGAGCAAATTAAAACTAATTTAAAAGTTACTCTTGGGCGCAATTGTCAGGCTTTCATTCAGGAAACTCTCTAAACAAGCACTTAAATTTAAGCAGGTGCCTAAATCCCACTGAACACAGTAGGATTTATACACCTGTTTTAGTGCTTTCCTGGGCAGTGATGGCCCTCAGCAAGTGGTATGTCACATCCCAAGAGTTACAAAGTCCAGGTGTCTTATTTTCATGCAGGCTTAATTGCCAGTGCCCAGCCAGCACTGGAATCACACCACCCCTAACCAGATTTTTATTTTAGTGCATATCCTGTCGTACTGCAAACCTGCTGCAGCCCCGCAGGCAGCTCTCCTGCTAACGAGCTGCAGCACAGAAATCTGAGCATGAGAACCATCTAAGAAGGTTCACACTCACAAACTGCCACTATGGATAGCAGTGCTGTTCTTTCAAGCCATGAATAGCACATTGAGCCATTCCTTGAAGTTGCAGCTGGGGCTTTTTTCCCCTTATTCTTCTGAAGACCCGTCATTGCGGTCCTGGCACAGCAGGGACAGCACTGGGAGCCCCAGTGCCAGAAGTCCTCTCCTACCGCAGAAGCAGAGTGTGGTGAGGGTGCACATTTGTGGTAATCTCCCTTTTACAAGATACAGATGAGCCTGCTCAGTGGCAAAATTAGCATGCTGGGAACAGCTCTTCTCACCCTAGAGTGGTAAACTGCAGAGCTGGTGGGAGGAGAAGGGAAAGGAAAACAGGAGGTTGGCAATATGATGAGTAGGGTGAACCTAGGCAAGACACAAAGTTGAAAAGCAGCAAGCATTTTCAATGTAAACCCTCCATGTTTCATAAACTTTGAGTCATTCTTGTTACTTAATTGAAAAGCAAACCCGAATTTTCATTTCTCTTTCTTCACTGGCAACAGGAGGATGGGAAAGGAAACAGAAAAAGAAAGGGTCACCACTAAGCTTTCTAAGGTCTTTCCTTTTGATACTGTGACTTGTTTCGGTTATTTTTTCATTACTTATTTTCACTAAAATAGAAGGTCTCCAGGAAAGCATTTGCTTTGGTTAAAACCAAAATTAAATCTGACCTATCACTGAGGGGAAAAAAACAACTGGCTCTAAGGAAGACAAACTCTGTATAAGTATGTTTACATACTAAAGAGGGCATGTGCGAGTCAAAAATGTACTGACAGACGAGCATAGGTCAGATTTGTGGGAAAAAAAAAAGGATTTTTAACAATCTTTCAGCCCTCTCTTTATTAGACCTTAATTAAATCAATGGGTCAAAGCAACAGAGGGAAAAAATGGTTCAGCTAGGGGACACTAATCAACCCTTTCGTGGACTGAAAGATATCTTAAGTGAGAATTAAGCTTTAAACCAACATCTGCCTCATGTAACACATAAACATAGACATTATTGCTTAAGAAAAAGTATTTTTAGGACCTTCTCTTGAAAATAAAAATCATTTATAAAAAAAGATATTGCTAATAATCACTATCAGTGAGCATGCTTGAATGAGAATAACCAGGCAAGTCTTTTGGGTTTTGGTTGAACAGCATCCTTACACATGTTGTTAATTTTAGAGAACCTAGTGCTGAACCAAGCACCAGCTTTTAAGTCGGTTGGTGCTGTTGGATTCAGATGATGATATGGCTCTGTTGACCATTAGACCTGTGAGTAGCAATTGAACTGTTTAGTGAGATTAATTGAAAGTCTGGACTTGCCTCTTTCTGGTCCCCAAAAATTTTGGCTGGAAAGCTGAACACTTGTGCAGATCAGGGTCATCTTGAATACATTTCTTCTATTCTTACCCTAAATGCAGACTCAGAATCCAGGAAGGTCCTGTTATGGCTCTACAAAAGACAAGATAGATTTTACCTTCTTGATCTATACTGAGATAGGAGATAATCTTACATCCTAAAGATGAAGTAGTAGTTTTTAATTAATCAGCAATGAACAAAGTCTGATTCCCAATATTTATCTATTAAGTAACATATAATACCTCAAATTAACTTAAAATTGCAAACCTGCTGGTTCATACTGTTGATCATGGTGGACTCTGTAATATAACTTTTCTTACCTGAAAAGCATTTGGAGCCACATTCCACCTGCCATTTAGCCAAGGAGAGTGGTGATCTCTCCAAACACAATTGGCTCTGTGCAGTTTTCATGACAGGCTGCACCCAAGAAATACCACCAAGTTTCCATATAATATCTTGCCTTATTATAATCATAATTATTCATCTCTATTGCTTAAACCACTGTTGCATGAGAAAGCAATATTTCCAAGGCACTGGGTGGAATACCTTTACTGGAAAACATGCTCTCAACAGGAAACCCAAGCACAGTGCTAGAGAGTTATCTTAAGCAGATTTAAATAATTAAATCCAAAATTCTCAAACCACTTGCTGTTTCAAATTTATTTCTTTAATAACAAGCTTGTTTCAGCAACACAGTGGATTAGGGTTTCATTTATTCAAAATTTAAGGTCTGTCCCACTCTGAGTGTTATTTTAAGTATTTAGGGGAATTTTTGTGCTTGTGAAAATGAAGAGATTGTTGCATTATAAATTCATTTCCTCTGTTATTGCACAGGCCATGCACAGTGCAGCTGTGAAAGCGCCGTAAGAGCCCCAGCAGTGTCCTCAAGCTCAACCTAGTCGGCCGAGTCTTTGTTTTTGCACAAAGAGGAGCTGGCCCTTTCCTACATGTCAGCTACAAGTACTTCCTAAACAGCGAAGTCGACACTGCATGGCCATACCAAACAAAGAGAAGGTGTTTAATGACGGCGATGACTGTCCACAGGGAAGGTGGGCCAGGAGCCAACAGCTGTTTTCTTGCAGGACTTGAAAGAGGGGTTGAGCCCAGTGCCCACAGCCTCGCACGGAGCAGCTTCTGTAGCAGGTGTCACCTCCTAAGGAAGGGCTCAGTGGCAGTTGCCATCCACACCAGCAATTTTACAAACAAGCAAGTTTCTTATGTGTTCTTCATCACCTCCAGGCACTCATATTCTTTTTAAGTACAGGAACATTAATTAGATTTTGACCACAGACCCTGGATTTGACTTACCCTGACAGGGTTTCCATTAGTGTAATCTGCAGGGGAATTCGCTGTTTTAACATCTGTGTGCCTAAGGCCTATCTCACATTTACTGCCGCTGCCTGAAAAGCCTCCCTTGTACGGCTGTGTGTTTCTTCATGCTCCCAATTTCACAGAAGTCATTTCAGCACCAAACGGTAATTAGCAAAGGGATGGGCCTCGGCTGACATGAATGCAATTTATTGTTTTCCACAAGGCCCTGAACCGAGCAAACAAAGAACACAGTCTTGCTGTCTGGCCTTTTATTAACTTGTATTGTGTGACATACCTTACTGAAGGGAGATCTCCCAGTAAATGTAGCAGCAAGTAACCAGTAACATTCGTGCTTTTGAAGAATATTAATTTTGGTTCAATTAGACAGGTTTTGTGGGACCTCAGCCTCTAAAATAGGACAGCCACTTTTATAATTATCTTCTGTAATAACTTTATCACCACCCGACTTTTTACATAAATGCAACCTTTCATCTTTAAAATGCCAACACTTCTTCAATTTTGGCAACCATACAGCATTGCTAATTATTTGCTCATTATGTGTGGTTAACTGATGAATCATTAATAAATGAATGAATGGCTAATATATTTTTATGGTAATTGGAGATATAACTGATTGCAGACTTCCTTTGCTTTTCAAAACTGCCCTGAATGAGCAGTAGCTGCTTAATTGTTTACAGATGATATTTATGCCACTGACAAGCTCTTCCCATTGCCATGGTTTATCAGAGGTGAGCCCTCCCTGTGCCCCATGGTGGGGCAACGCTCTCCCTTCCCCATGGTCGCAGCAGACAGGCAGGCACACACATTTCAGACAGGTTTCCCATCAGCTCCCCACAATGGCTGGGAGCAGGACTACTGACACCACCACATTGACTGTCGGCATTTCCAAGGAATACCATACTGTGACATGGAAATGATACCTTTCTGCAATGTTCTTCTGCAGTCTGGGTGTCTGCAGTGAACACCAGAGACAGGGCAGGGAAATCAGGCTCTGCTGACATTTTGTTTTAACTCCGTACCACACATTACAGTAAATGGCTTATACAACCTCTCTCTGCCAGTGCAGAGTTAATGAATTCAGAGATAATTGCAGGGTTGATTTCTTTCTTTCTTTCCTTCTTTCTTTCCTTCTTTCTTTCCTTCTTTCTAATAATCTATCTTTTCATAAATCATTCTTAGGGTACACAGTTCCAAAACACAGCATTTAAATCTTCTTGACAATTCAAATCAAAAAGAAAAGATAGTAAGATGACCAAACAAGGCTCTTTTAGCTATGCACACACATTCTGAAGATCAAGTTAAAAATGCAAAGGAGATTACCAATTCTTAATTATAATTATTTAACCAGGTGGGTAGTTTCTCTAATGAACATTTCTATGAAAACAGAATAACTAATGACGGTCTTAAAGAAGTCTTTGTCTTCCCATGTACTAATGATCACATTTATAAATATGCAGGAAGGCCCCCCTGTACATTGCTAATGATAAGTAATTAAGCACCAGGCGTCAAAAGCTATAGAAAAGGGTCAGGGTAATGCAAGAGAAAATTAAAAATGCAATAAAATAAGTTGTGGAGCAAAATTGAATTTCTGGCTTCTGCAGGACTGGCTATAAAGAAATCTTTTCCCCCTTCTGTATAAACCATGGCTGCTGTGGGGTATCCAAACAAAATCTTCTAAGTACTTTCATTAGATTTTACTTGCCTCTGTGCTTGTACTCATATTAAAAACAAGTGAACCACCAGCCATTTAAAACAGACGCTATATTCAGTAAAGCTGCAGTTTCTCTCAATGTTTATGGGAAATCACTGTGGCTGAGGTTATGGCTATCACCAACCTCCTCAGAAGCATTTCAAAACTTCTGATGAAAGAAAACAGGGACGTGTTAAAAATGAAACCTGTTTTTGTGATTATTTTTTTAGTCCAGAGGTCAACACTCGAAGGGCCTGGATTTGATCCCTGGGAGGGTTGCCACCAAAGAGACTCAGACCCAAGAAGCACAGAGGGCTGGCTCAAGCCCACACCTTTAGTTCAGCTGCTGAACCCACACCACAGACCATCGCAAAGCATTAGAGGCAGTTTCCAAATGAAATTAAATGCATTGTCTTTGGTAGCAAAGACATGTTTGTTTCTCTAAATGAAAAGCCGTTAAATTAGGTAATGCTGACACTCTTTCTTGGAGGCTCAGCGCAGGGCTGCAGGAGCACAGAAGTCCCTGTGCTCCTGTTGGCTGCTGCAGTGCTCCTCGCTGGGTTCCCTCTGGCACCCCACATCCACGGACCCTCTCCATGGCTAAGCCCCTGTGTTAAAACCCCATTTGCTGCTGCTGTAGTTCAGGGTTCAATAAGACGACAGTGCAGGTCTAAGGGAAATAATGTACTATTACTTTTTTTCACTGAAAGTAGGATTAAACTTGTTTGTAAAATTCATGGTGATGAAATTCGTGGTGAGTAAAGAGTAGAGGGAGGGAGTGACAGAGTAAGTGGGACACAGATAAGCACCATCCTTCTACCGAGCACCTCACTAAATGGTGTTTTAGTAGCTGCTGCAGCCCTGCTGCACCACAGGGTCACAGTCTCCCTCAGCACAGTCCCACATGGGCAGAAACTTCACAAGATTTCTTGGCCTGATCTCAAATTTAACCAACATGTTAGATTAAAACACATGATCTTTGTATTTAGAGCTTGTGGACACCATGGCATTAACTGCAAATAATGCTGTGGCATTTCTTTCAGGTGAAACCAGTGACTCTCCTATACTTCTAGCCTTTCAGGACTTCTTTTTGAAAATGATCTTAATATTTGGCTTCCAAACTGACCTTTCATTGCCTCACACTGGGTATTTCCACCACTGCCTTTAGCCCAGCCATGGCTCTGGCTCTCACACGAAGAACCCAGAGTGCACAAGCCCCAGCCAGGCCAGGCGACGCGCACTGACAAGCCAGCGCGGTTTCCACTTTTATGGGCCGTGCAGCCAGCCTGCCTGTTTGAGCTGTTTCATTTTGTCTGCAGCCGAAAAT